AGCCCCTGCAGATCTTCCTCCTTGGTGGTCATCTTTAAACAAGACTCAGACCAGACAGCCCTTCAGAAAAGGAAGACCTTTCAACACAGTAATGGCCCCTGACAGCCCCTCGAGTTGAGCCAGGGTTCCCAAACTGTTGGTCTGCAGACCACCAGTGGTCCATGAGCTTCATTTGGGTGGTCCACAGCAAGTCTGTGAAGAACGACAGGAGCAGCATATATAAAAAGTGAGTGCTTCAGCTGTTGCATCATTCTAAGAATGCCAGTGGTCAGTCCACAAGGTGAGGAGGATGGACTGGGAGTGACTGGGGTGGGGTAGAAAGGCCCTCGGAAGTTGTGGAGAGGATTAGCAGTCAGAAAGAGAGAGTGAGAATAAATGAAAATCAATAAAAGAAGCAATGCAAATAGAGTGGTACCTCGGGTTAAGTACTTAATTCTTTCCGGAGGTCCGTTCTTAACCTGAAACTGTTCTTAACCTGAAGCACCACTTTAGCTAATGGGGCCTCCTGCTGCTGCCGCTGCACAATTTCTGTTCTCATCCTGAAGCAAAGTTCTCAACCCGAAGTATTATTTCTGGGTTAGTGGAGTCTGTAACCTGAAGCGTATGTAACTTGAAGTGTATGTAACCCGAGGTACCACTGTACCATTAAAAATCACGGAATACCTAGTACATTTCATTACAGTTGCGAAAACAGGCAGAAAAATAACCAAACAGTTCACCAAGACCTTCAGCAATTTTCATGGAGGGGGCAAGTTTGGAAACCTGAAATAGAGGATTGTCCTTTGTAAAGCTAGAGATCTCCCTGGGCCCCAGCCAATAGCGTAGCCATGTGTCCTGATTTGCAAAGACCAATCCTATATGAAGGGCTGTTATAGGGCATTACCCTGTTCAAATCTAACCAACCTTTTAAAGCAATTGCTTTCAGTCCCAAATGCATCTGATTTTAGAATCACAGTATTGTACATTTGGAAGGGACCACAAGGGCCATCTAGTCCAATGCAGGAATCTTTTTGCTCAGTGTGGGGCTCGAAGATTAACCGACTCATGCTCTGCCAACTGCAATCAGCTCCGTCCAGATAAAAACTAAAAGGAGCTGAGGGGGCCAGTAGGAGCATGTGAGGCAACCAGTAACACATACTTTAAGCCAGGAGCGGGAAAACTCAGGTTCAGTACAGGGACATAATAATAATAATAATAATAATAATAACCTTAAACCTTAACCTTAAAGGGTTGTTGCCTTGAAGAGGGGTTAATTGTTAAGCCACCTTGGGAACTGTAATTCTATGAAGGGAAAGGGGCTTCCTAACAACTCTCAGAACGCTTAACAAATAACAACAACAACAACAATAATTTATTATTTATACCCCGCCCATCTGGCTGGGTTTCCCCAGCCACTATGGGAGGCTTCCAACAGAATATTAAAATACAATAGTCTATTAAACATTAAAAGCTTCCCTAAACAGGGCTGCCTTCAGATGTCGTCTAAAAGTCTGGTAGTTGCTTTTCTCTTTGACATCTGGTGGGAGGGCGTTCCACAGGGCAGGTGCCACTACCGAGAAGGCCCTCTGTCTGGTTCCCTGTAACTTGACTTCTCGCAGTGAGGGAACTGCCAGAAGGCCCTCGGTGCTGGACCTCAGTGTCCGGGCAGAACGATGGGGGTGGAGATGCTCCTTCAGGTATACCGGACCGAGGCCGTTTAGGGCTTTAAAGGCCCTGCAATGCCTTTCCACTTGACCCTTGAAACTCTCCCCAGGTCATACCCTCACTGCTCTCCATGCCAAACGTTTTTGCCAGACGGAAATATATCCTTGAGCTCAGACAATTCCTCTTGCTTCCCCAGCTGGAAGAAGGGGAGGGGAGTGTGTGTGCAAACTAGCCTACTGCGCAGGTGTGAAATTTACATAAATTGCCCCACCCACTTTTGCCCTTGGCCCCACCCACCCCGGCATGTGGTCCTCAGAAGGTCACCCAGAATGGGATGGAAGGCTCATCCTTGCTATATATACACTTTGAAGTCCGGTAAAAGGGAATTACGTGAAAACGGCACAAAGAACACCATCATTATTTTATACGGCATGGGGAAATAGCTGACAAGCTACTCAAGTTCTGTTTCATGGCTTCCTCATCACCATCTCCTCCTGCTTCAAACACCCCTATGTTACTAGGCAATTGATGACTAAACAGTCACACGGTTGTTTCCAGACACAAAATTGCTTTTAGATTAAAGCAGTTTGTAACACTGGCACTTTCTCCACTCAGCTTGTATGGCATACGCTTTCCCTGCCCTCTTAACTGTCTCCAGTCCAGCATTTTCCAAAGGCCAGAAGAGGACAGGATCAAGCTGCAAACTTCCTTCAGGAAACATTGTACCACAGAGAGGGAAATCCTGTGTAAAGGTAGGTAAAGGTGAAGGTAAAGGGACCCCTGACCATTAGGTGCAGTAGTGGCCGACTCTGGGGTTGCGGCGCTCATCTCGCTTTACTGGCCGAGGGAGCCGGCGTGCAGCTTCCGGGTCATGTGGCCAGCATGACTAAGCCTCTTCTGGAGAACCAGAGCAGCGCACAGAAACGCAGTTTACCTTCCCGCCGGAGCGGTACCTATTTATCTACTTGCACTGTGAGGTGCTTTTGAACTGCTAGGTTGGCAGGAGCAGGGACCGAGCAATGGGAGCTTACCCCGTCGTGGGGATTCGAACCGCCGACCTTCTGATCGGCAAGTCCTAAGCTCTGTGGTTTAACCCACAGTGCCACCCACATCCCTTTTAAAGGTAGGTAAAGAAAGGTAAATGATCCCTGGATGGTTGAGTCCAGTCAAAGGTGACTATGGGGTTGTGGCGCTCATCTTGCTTTCAGGCCGAGGGAGCTGGCATTTGTCCACAGACAGCTTTCCGGGTCATGTGGCCAGCATGACTAAACCGCTTCTGGTGCAACGGAACACCGTGACAGAAACCAGAGCGCACGGAAACATCGTTTACCTTCCCGCCACAGCAGTACCTATTTATCTACTTGCACTGGTGTGCTTTTGAACTGCTAGCTTGGCAGCAGCTGGGACAGAGCAATGGGAGCTAACTCCATTGCGGGGGTTCGAACTGCCGACCTTCCAATCGGCAAGCCCAAGAGGCTCAGTGGTTTAGACCACAGTGCCACCCGTGTCCCTATCTGTATTTGCTGTACATATAATAAGGTAAAGGGACCCCTGACCATTAGGTCCAGTCGTGGCCGACTCTGGGGTTGCGGCACTCATCTCGCTTTACTGGTCAAGGGAGCCGGCGTACAGCTTCCGGGTCATGTGGCCAGCATGACTAAGCCACTTCTGGCGAACCAGAGCAGTGCACAGAAACGCCATTTACCTTCCCGTCGGAGTGGTACCTATTTATCTACTTGCACTTTGACGTGCTTCCCCATCACGGGGAATCGAACCGCTGACCTTCTGATTGGCAAGTCCTAGGCTCTGTGGTTTAACCCACAGCGCCTCCCGTATCCCGACAGCGCCACCTACGTCCCGTTGCGCCACCCGCGTCCCCCACCAAAGAGCAAAGAGTTTTCCCAAGATCCTCTGACTTAGTTGAAATGTTTATATTATGCTGCAATTTCATTTGAAATGTTCATTGATCATTTTTATGAATCACTGCTCTTGCTTGCTTACTGCTGCCTGTATACAGTTTATTTTTGTGGGAAGATGGCAAACAAAGCCTAACCTCATTTAAAATGTTTAGTAATTCATCAGCACGAATTCTATCACATGAAGAATGTGGTTTGTTTCCCAGTAATCCAAATGTTATCCAGTTTTGAACAGTCTCATGCTTGCCTCTTTTCCTGCACATAAATATAATTGAATGCAGTGTGCACTGGCCGCAGCTTAGTGGCAGAACATGTGCACTGCATGCAGAAGGTCCCATATTCAATCCTGGAATCTCCAGGTAGGACCAGGAGAGAATTCTGTATGTCCGTGTAGCTGATATTGAGCAAGTTGGCTACTGGCCAAACCTTTGCTGTGGTAAAAGGCAGGTTCTTCTGCTGTTTCTGTGAATCCAATCTCTTAATTACAGCCAGTGACCTGTATTATATGTAGTTCCTGCAATTCATTGGTTCTGATATTAGTGAATATATATAGAGAGAGAGAGAGAGAGAGAGCTTACTTTCTCATTTAGAGAGCTTTAGCAGTGTTGGCAGTTTCCAATACCAGTATCTGTGCTGCAGCTAACGTGAACAAGCTGCTACTTGTTTCAAAGTGTGACTGATAGACAGATCTGTCTGTGTGATGTGGTGAAAGGGTGGTGATAGGCAGTCTACTTTGTGCTAAACGGGCATTTGGTATATACCCCGCTATGCCAGGAAGCATATTACCCGGCACACTACTAAAATGAGGCTGCATTTTAAGGTGCATCTTAAAACTGTTTTTTCTTTTCTCTTTTTTTCTATTACATTTTATTGTAATTTATATTTGGTGTTAGCCGCCCTGAGCCCAGCCCTGGCTGGGAAGGGCAGGGTATAAATAAAATTATTATTATTATTAGTAGTAGTAGTAGTAGTAGCAGTGGCAGTATTCTGCTTTTCCTCCAAAGGAGTTCAATGCACCGAGTCACCCCGTCATTATCCTCCCAATAAATGTGGCTCTAGTGAGAGATAGCAAGTGATTGTTGAGAGATAAGGAGTGGCCAAAGGTCACCTAGAAAGCTGCATGGCTGATTGTGATTCGAACCCAAGCCTGCCCATTCCAAGGCCAATACTCCATTCAACACACCACCCTGGCATTCTATGAAGCGAGATTCTCCACACCCAAGCTCCCCAAAAGATTAGGCTACAGAGCAAGGGTAGTAGCATTATTGTTGCAGTGTGGAGTGTCCATGGTCAGTCAGCTTTGTCATCCTCCAAAATGCTCCATTCCCTCTTGGTTTTCCTCCCCTCTGCCAACAGTTATAGAAATCATAGAATTGTAGAGTTGGAAGGAACCCTGAGGCTCATCTGGTCCAACCACCTTGCAAGGCAAGACTATGCAGCTGTCTCATACGGGGATCGAACCTGCAACCTTTGCATTATCAGCACCATGCTCTAACGAGCTGAGACTGAATGCCTGCAATCCCCAACAGGCTGATTTGGGGATTCCCTCTGCCCTTAGGCATTTGTTACTTAAAGTTTTTGTGCTACAAACCTTGGGGCAAGTCTGCTGATAACTTTCTCTTTCTCCCTCCCTCCCTCCCACTCCTGTGGTTGGTGCTCTTTGGGCAACATAAACTATGGTCTGCATGACTGAACATCAGAAATGGAAGCAACGATAATCATACTTTGCCAGCTTTCAGATGTATTAGTCTGTTGCGGGGGGGGGGAAGGGGGGGTAATGAAATGCAACGTGGCATCTTAAAGACTAGCAGATTTGTGCCAAAGGAGATTTGCGACACAGAAGTCTTTGTGGTTGTCACCTTAACCTTACAGGGTTGTTGCCTGGAAGAGGGGTTGATTGTTAAGCCACCTTAGGAACTGTAATTCTATGAAGGGAAAGGGGCTTCCTCTCAGAACGCTTAACTAATAATAATAATAGTAATAATAATAATAATAATAATAATAATAATAATAATAATAATTTATTATTTATACCCCACCCACTCTGGGCGGCTTCCAACAAAGTATTAAAATACAGTGGTCTGTTAAACATTAAAAGCTTCCCTAAACAGGGCTGCCTTCAGATGTCTTCTAAAAGTCTGGTAGTTGTTCTTCTCTTTGACATCTGGTGGAAGGGCATTCCACAGGGCGGGTGCCACTACTGAGAAGGCCCTCTGCCTGGTTCCCTGTAACTTGGCTTCTCACAGTGAGGGAATCGCCAGAAGGCCCTTGGTGCCGGACCTCAGTGTCCGGGCAGAACAATGGGGGTGGAAACTCTCCTTCAGGTATACTGGATCACAGCTACTGGGATTGTTTGGGGGAAGCCATGACTGTTGAAGTGGTATCCTAGTGCTTTAAATATGTAGTGCGGATGTGGCCCAAATGTTGCATCAAGGAGTGCTTCAGCTCAGCATTCCTAGAATCTTAGAGTTGGAAAGGACCCAAGAATCATCTAGTCCAACGGTTTGGAAACTTCAGCTAGTGCAGAATTCAGCGGCCAGGTTGCTCACTGCAGCAAGATGGTTTGAGCATATTACACCAATCCTAAAGGGATGTGGGTGGCGCTGTGGTCTAAACCACAGAGCCTAGGGCTTGCCGATTGGAAGATCGGCGGTTCGAATCCCCGCAATGGGGTGAGCGCCTGTTGTTCGGTCCCAGCTCCTGCCCACCTAGCAGTCCCACTGTCGAACAGCTCTCCCTGTTGGTAGGTTCTTCCTAATGCTTAGTCTGAATCTCCTTTCTTGTAACTAGGAGCCATTGGCTCAGGTCTCTGGAGCAGAAGAAACTTTCTCCATCCTCCATGTGGCAGCCCTTTAGATATCTGAAGATGTCTATCATATCTCCTCTCAGTTTCCTCTTTTCAGGCTGAACATACCCAGCTCCTTCAACCATTCCTCATAAGGCATGGTTTCAAGACTCTTGATCATTTTGGTTGCCCTCTTCTGCAGACGTTCCAGTTTGTCAATAGCCTTCTTCAACTGTGGCACCCAGAACTGGACACAGGACTCCAGGTGGGATCTGGCCAAGGCAGAATAGAGTGGGACTATTACTTCCCTTGACTGAGACACAGTGGAATGGTCTCCCTCAGGAGGTGGTGGACTCTCCTTCCTAGGAGGTTTTTAAGCTGAGGTTGGATGGCCATCTGTCATGGATGCTTTAGCTGAGATTCCTGCATTGAAGGGGGTTGGCGGACTTTCGGGTTGGCGCCTCCGGCAATGGCGGAGCTCCTCCGATCGGGAGGAACTAGCTCCGTGAAAACCAGGGTCTGACCGCCACGGCAAAGGCGGAGACCCACTGAAATCACAAGCGGGAGAAGCTTGTGAACTTGGGATCCGGCTGGCACCTTTGTGCCTCCCCTACTCGCGGGGAAACCCAGTTTCGGGGATCTGGAGCGACGTGGGGTGAATGGCACGGTGCTTCGAATCGACTGCTTTTTTCGCGGAGTGAAGCCGCATTGCTGTTGCTGGAGAGCGCTGACTTTTTCCTGTGGACAATTGGACTTTAAACAACTACCCGTGAGTAGAACGCAAAATTGGATCTTCAAATAATTTAATTTGGTACCGAAACGGGGAAGATTTTAAACAGGAAGTCCGCCTTCCCCTTTTTTGTAAATAGATTGAAGCAAAGAAGTTATAAGCTAAAGTCTTTGGAAGCTTTTGGCAAAGGATTGAACTTTCATCGGTTAAAGTTACAAAAAAAAAACCTGGAAGCAAGGGGGGGGGGGATTTTGGACTTAGCGAGCCTGCAGGAGGGAGTGAAAAATCAAATTATCACTGCTCCAAACCTGGGAAAGGGCTGCCAGAACAAGGGAAATTTTGGGAGAGTTCATTGACTGTGAACAGAACATTTTTGACAACTAGTTATATAAGAGAAAGATACTGTTTCCATTGTCCTCTTCTGCATTTAAAAAAGAGGAAAAGTAACTGGAAAGTGAAACTATTTTTATGGTCTGAATTGTGCTTGAAAGGATTGATACAAGTGGAGACTGTTTCCCTCTAGAGGGAGTTTTTGAAACTGTCACAGGACTGCACCAGCTGTATGATAAGTAAGTGTGAGAACTAGAGTTTGACCTTGGACCACTCAAAATATTGATAGGAGAAAAGCTATTCGTTGGAACAGCTCCATAAGAAGATAGATGACACTTCTTTTAAAATTGACAATTTGGACCAAAAAGTAACTAATTGGAGCCAAAAAGTGAGCATCAATACAGGAACAATTCAGGACTTGGCACAAGAAATTTCTTTGGTTGGACAGATTGCGGAGGAGAAAGAGAAAGCTGTGGTGGTTGAGCCTAAAGTAATACAAGTGGGATTTTCAGCCATACAGAAGCAAATTGAGGACTACAAGTTGAGGCCTTCTACGACTGAATCTAGAAAAAGCCAGATTTTGAAGATTGGATCCCAGCTTGGACGGAAGAAGGAAAGTTGGAAAGATCCTTCTATGCAGGGATTAACTGACTTTTGGGACATGGACTTGGGTTTGGAGGAGACTGGAGTTTTGGGGGCCTTGGGACTTGGAGGAATATTGAAACATGTCATGAAACATCTTATAGACCTCAGCTTTAACTATGGAAATTTGGCTGACTTGTCCGGAAGGAATAAAAGTATTGCTAGGTTGGAGTTTTTTCGAGATTTGCTTTTTGGCACTAAAGAATATGAAGAAGACTTGCAGAAGGGACCTGGAAAAGACTTAAGAGCCTCGGACATAAGATCTCCAGGTTGATGGACTATATGGATTTGACGGAAAGGACTGGCAGAATCCGAAACCAGGGAGAGGAGATGGTGGATGAAGATTAGAGATTTTAAAGTTTATATATAGAAATATTGCAAAATTAATGAATGATAGAAAAATGGTGGAAAGAAATTTTATGGCTTTAGTAGAAATGTCATAAGGAGTTAAGGATATATGAGTATTTAGTTTTTAATGATAAAAAATATGTTAAGATATTTATAATAAGACAGAAAATAGAGAAAGATGGAAAGGGGTTGCTGAAACCATTAATAGAAGTGGAATACAAAAAGGGAGGTGAGAGGAAGTAGAGGAAACAAGGGAATGAAAAATAGAGTATGGAAAGGGTGTGATTTATGTTTTTAAATGGTTATTGTTTTGTTTTGTTTTGTTTTGTTTAGGGTTAGGGTTTTGTTTAGTTTAGTTCAATGTGATTAGGTTGTGTTTTGTATTGTTATATACTGTATTGTATTGTTCTTTTCCCCCCCTTTCTTTGTTCTTTTTCTTTTGTTTCTTTTCTTTTCCTTTTCTGTAATCTTTAAAAGTAATAAATATTTTTTTTTAAAAAAAAATAGATTAGATGATCCTTGGGGTCTCTTCCAACTCTACAATTCTAGGAGAGCACTGTTAATTTTGCCAGTAGCTACCACTGCCTTTTGTGGGAATGAATTCTGTAGTTTAACTATGCACTTAGTGATGTATGGAAGTGAGAGCTGGACCATAAAGAAGGCTGATTGCCGAAGAATTGATGCTTTTGAATTATGGTGCTGGAGGGGACTCTTGAAAGTCCCATGGACTGCAAGAAGATCAAACCTATCCATTCTGAAGGAAATCAGCCCTGAGTGCTGATGTTGGGAAAGATGGAGGGCACAAGGAGAAGGAGACGACAGAGGATGAGATGGCTGGACAGTGTTCTCGAAGCTACCAGCATGAGTTTGACCAAACTGCGGGAGGCAGTGGAAGACAGGAGTGCCTGGCGTGCTCTGGTCCATGGGGTCACGAAGAGTTGGACACGACTAAACAACAACAAAAACTTGTCCCTAGCCCTGGCATCTTCTTCCAATGTCTGGAAGCAACCCCATAATATATTATGAAAGAGAAGATGAGAGTGTCCCAGAGCATATGCTGAGTGCCTGTTGCCCACCCAATGTTTTTATCCCACCCTTCTTCCAATGAGTTCAGAAAGTGCACACCATCTGCTTGCTCCCCTCATTTTTGTGACACTTTGAGGGAGGTTTGGCTGAGGGATGTGCTCTGACCCACTGTTACTTTATAAACTCCCTAAGAGAATGTGGATTTGAACCCAGATTCACCCAGACTAAGTCCAACACTCCACCCACTAGACCACACTGCTGTCAGCTCTCTCTTACTACCCATCAACAGAGCAAGCACCCCCCCGACCCCACAGACAAGAGAGTCTTTGGACCCCTTACAGCCTCGCAGATACATTGCGGCAAGAGGAATGCCACAACAATATGTTAAATCTGTTGGTCGTGTGGCATCCCAGATATTCCTTCTGCGTTTGCTGTAATAGACTAAGCACAGAAGCTTAGGATCGTGGAGCTGGAAGGGACCATAGAGGCTATTTAGGCGAACCCCTTGTTCAATGCAGAATCTGCAATGGAGGATCCAGTGACATCACTGACAGATGGCTGGCCAGCCTCTGCTTAAATAACTCCAGAAAAAGAGAGCTTACCACCTCCTGAGGAAGACTGTTCCATAGCCAAATGGCTCTTATCATTAGGA